CCCACCGAGATGGCTCTGATGCACAAGGGGACGGTGAGTGTGACACCAGGGGCGGCCACATCCTGCCAGGAGCGTGACGGGCATGGGGAACAGGGTGTGGGTGGGGGGCTCCTTCGCCCCCTCTGTCCCAATGGCCGCTGTAACGGGCTGAGCACCTTCCAAACCTTCCACCCCCGTGTCTGTCCCTCAGAGCGAAGGTCCTTATGACGTGATCCTGCCCCGCGCCTCCACCAGCCCCGTGCCCGGCAGTGCCAGCTCCACGCTCCGAGCCGAGGACGCCTTCGCGGCGCAGTCCCGGCATTCCAGCATCCCCAGGGACACCCGGAGCTGCCAGGTGGGTGAACGGTGGCTGCAGCAGGGGCAAAGTCCGGCCCTGCCGTGGTGACGGCTCTGCCCAGCACCCAGAGCTCTGAGCACCACCGGGGGGTGGCTCAGGGTACATGTCCGTGTCCTGGTGCCACCGCGGTGCCACCCCTCTCTGCCCACAGGTGCAGTCCCCGTACGGCAGGAGCCGGTGGTGAAGCCCCCGTGACACAGCTCCCGCAGCTCCCGCAGCGCCGGCGCGGCCGCGGCTCCTCCGTCCCGCTCCCCAGGGCTCGCCAAGCCCCATCCCACCCTGACGCGTGAATCCCACCCCGGCTGGCAGCCAGAGCTGCCTCCTGCCCGTGGGATGCCTGGACACGGCCCCAGAGCCAGCGCTCCCGCCCGCCCATGGACCCCCACATCCCTGCCCCAAGGACTGGCTCCCGTGGGGACGCCCCCAGCTGTCGCCTCACTGCCTTCGTGATGCACAGACACCCCACCTTCCCCGGGCCGTGGAGCCTCCAAAGCTGCGGAGCCCGTGGGACCCCGCCCAGGGCACCCTCAGCACCGAGCCCCGGCCCCGCACTGACCCCCCCCAGCCCTGGGGACCCCGAGCTGAGCCGGCCCCACCGCAGGGCACGGGGGGACACAAAACTGTCCCCAGCTCTGCCTCTGTTTCCCCATTGCTGGGGAAGGGGGGTCTGCTGGGGGTCCGGGGGATCAGTGCCTTGCTGGGGCTGGGGACCAGCCCCCCACAGCTCTGGCCGCCTTCTCGGTGCCTTCCCCCCCTGCAGGGGGTGGGGAGGGAGCTGGGCCCCTCGCCCTCCCTGCGGCTTTCTCTGTCAAATTTCCTTTTCCTTTTTTTCAGGTCACCCCAATAAAGGTGGTTTTTCCTATGATGCGGTCACACGTGGCTGTGACGGGGGTCCCGTTTAGGGGAGTGACGGGGAGCACGAGGGGGCTCCGGGCAGGGTCCTGGTCACCCCCAGCCCCCCCAGCTGGGGCCGCTGGGCCGGGATCCCGTGGGCAGATGGGCTGCCGGGCAGGAGGTGGCACAGCACGGAGGACGTGCCAAGGTCGCGGTGGTTTTCCCGCTCGGATTGCCTTCCCCTCCGCAGCCGTTCCTCCTCCTCCGGGCAGGAAGCCTGCGGCCAGCAGTGCCATGAATTATTCAGGGCTGGAATGGCTCGGTGGGGGCTGCGGGTGACCCGGTCTCCTTGAGCGGAGCCGGGATGGCGGCGCTGGGGCTGCCGGTGGGCCCGTGTGCCCTGTACAGGGGACACACGGCACGGTGTGGCACTCGCCGTGTCCTGGATGTCCCTTCAGCTGGCACAAGCCCACGCTCCCGGCTCTGGGGACACGGCAGCCGGGTGTTTGCAGCGGGACGTGGCCGTGTCCCCTGGGCTGTGCTGCGTCACCCGTGTTTGCCTGTCACCCGTGTTTGCCTGTCACCTGTGTTTACCTCTCTCTGTGTTTACCTGGGGACATTGCCCAGCAGCACCAGGCACTCGGTGTCACCAGAGCCGCTTGTCACCACAGCACGCCCTCCTCCCGGGCACCGCGGTGACCCCCCAAAGTCACCGCCACCTTCCCGGGGACACGGCGGCAAAGCCACCCGAAAAAAAAACAAGGTGCAAAGCTTTGTGCCGCACTCAGGCGTGGCAGGGGACAGCGGAGAGGCTCGGCTGCCGTGCCCGGCCCCTCCGGAAGCGCAGGATCCCACCGGCCCCGCCAGCGCCGGCCGCAGCGCGGGGCGGCCCCGCTCCAACAGCGAGCGCTTTGTGCCGGCGGGGCCGCGGAACAGCGGGGCCTTTGTCCGGCCAGGTGAGGCACACACGGCCCAGCCACGCCGGGAGCAGCCCCGGAGCCTCCCCGGAGCCGGGGGCTGCCCGGAGGGGTCGCGGGGCGGTGGAAGCGGGGTGGGGTGGGCGCACATGGCAGCGCGCCTGGCACCGGGGTCACCGTGACCAGGGACGGGCAGGGACACGGGCAGCGATGCCAGGGGCAGGGCTGTGTGTGGCTGCAGCCACGGGGCTCAAGCAGGGTCACCAATAGTGACAATAAAGGCAGGTGACACCGTGTGGGTGAGTCCTGTGGCACTGTCCTCCCAGCAGGCTGAGCTGGCAGGCACTGGGGTCTCCTCACGGCTGAGGAACGAGGTTCTTGCCCCCACTCTGCCAGGGCCAGCCCGTGGTGACAGTGACATGCCTGGGACTGCCATCTGCCAGCACAGCAGCGTCCCTAAGGAATCCCTGTGGAATTGGGAACACACAGACGCTCACAGCACAGCACCGGCTCCCACTGGCACTTTTTACTCCAAGCATGTCCATGGCACCGCAGGGACCCCGCTCCGGTGCTGAGCCGTGGAGTGTGGAGCTGTGGGAAGCCCCAGGGCTCAGAAGTGACACAATGTCCCCTCTCGAGTCCCAAAGTCCTCAGCCCGGACCGGCCTGGGCACGCTCCCGCTCCAGCTGTTTGCGCCTCTGGATGTCCCTGTAGGCCCGGATGACGCGCACCCGCTCCTCCTCCAGGATGCGCCGGCGAGCCATCGACACCACCGGGGACACCGGGGACACGGGGGACGCCTGGCTCTGGCCCAGGCGAGGTGTCAGGAGGAGCTGCTTCCGTCCAGCCTGCAGGCAGAGATGGGACAGCTCAGGCAGGAAGGATGAGACACCGGGACTGCACTCTGAGGAGCTGTCACCAGCTCACTGAGGCCACCGCTGCCCTCCCAGGTACCCAAGGGGTGGGTGGCATTGTCCCCAGAGCTCACCTGCTGGGCAGGACCCCGTCCCCTGGGCAGTGAGGTGATGGTGGGTGGCTGTGTCACCACTTCTCCGAAGGGCACCGTGTCTGCAAGTGAAGCCGGAGCCAGGGTTCAGCGGGAGACCCTCGGGATGCCCAGTCCAGCTCCCCCCACCCCTCCATGTGCTGTCCCCCGGGGCTGGGGGTCACTTCAGCCCCCCACTCCATCCCCACCTTGCAACAGGCTCTTCTCCAGCATATCCTCCTTCTTCTCCTCCTTTTTCTTCCGAGCTTTTTCCAGTTTCCTTTTCTGAAACCTGAAGTGCTACACTATGGCTGGGGCTCAGGAATGAGTCCCAACCCCACGGGAGCCCCTCAAATCCCACAGCTTTTCCCTCAGGAGGGTGAAGCAGGTTTGTGGCTCTGTTCCCATGGAGAGGGGCCCACTGCCCCCCACCTGCACCCCCAGCCACTGCCAACGCCAGAGCTGCCCTGCAGAACTGGGCAAGGGGACAGGCCACAGGCGTGCCAGGCTGGCCCCATCCAGCTCCCGTGGCCTTGCTCTCACTCTTTTTTCCTTTTGGATTTCTCTGGAGCCGTCGCCTCCTTCTCAGGCTCCCTCTGGAGCTGGTTCTCCGTGAGGAAGAGGACGTGCTGCACCTCCTGCTCCATGCGGCAGATGTAGGAACGCTCCGACTCCCCCTTGCCCCTCCGGAACTTGGGCACGGGGATGTCCCCAGGGGCCTTGGGGCCCTTGGATTTCTGCTGCTGCTTCTTCTCTAGGAGAGACAGGGGACATTTCTGCAGCGGTGCCACCACGGGGGTCCCTGCGGCTGGCAGAGCACGGCTGGGACATCACTGCAGGGAGGAGGATGTCCCATGGCAGGATCCAGCCGTGCCATGGGCTCCTGGGCCAGGACCCCTCGGGCCACCTGCGTGTCCCACCTGCCACCTGCCTCTTCCCGGGCTCTGGGCGCTTCAGGGCCTCGCGGCTCCGCATGAGCTCCCGCAGGCGGAACGGGATCTCCTGCTCGTCGGGGTGTTTGGGCTTCATGTTGTGCTGCTTCTCCTTCCTGGGGAAAAGGAGAATCCGTGAGAGGATTCCAGGGAAGCACCAGGACCTGGAGGCTGGGACACCGGGACCTGGGCACTGGGACACCGGGACCTGGGCACTGGACACCGGGACCTGGGCACTGGACACCGGGATCCGGGCACTGGGACACCGGGACCTGGGCACTGGGACACCGGGATCCGGGCACTGGACACCGGGACCCAGATAGGGAAGGATGCTGGGATTCGGGAAACTGAGGCTCAGGCATGGCTGGGCACCGGGACGGAGGCACGGGGAGACATCAGGGTCAGCACGGGCAGACATCGCGACCCGGGCACGGGTAGAGATCAGGAATCCGCCGCCAGGAACGGGACCCCCGCCAGGGCCCACCCGCGCCCCGGGACCCCGCGTGGCTCCAGCTCCCAAACCGGGAGCGATCCCGACTGGATCCCGCGGGCACTGACCTGCTGCGCAGCGGGACGGGCGGGCCGTGTTCCGATCGCGGTCCCGCTTTCTGTCCCTGTCCCGCTTTCTGTCCCTGTTTCGGTCCCCATCCCGGTTTCTGTCCCGATCCCAGTTTGTGTCCCTGTTTCTGTCCCTGTGTCGGTCCCGATCCCAGCTTGTGTCCCTGTTTCTGTCCCGATCCCAGTCTCTGTCCCTGTTTCTGTCCCGATGCCAGTTTTCGTGGCGGTCCCCGGGCCGCTTTCTGTCCCTGTCCCGGTCCCCGGGCCATGGCTCCGCCGCTCCTCACGCGGCCGTTCCGCCGCCACTTCCGGATTCTGGCCCCGCCCCCTGCTGAATATTGCTCATATTTCCACACAACTCCCGCCCCGCTGAGCGCACCGGGCTACCATTGGCTGGGAGAGCTGTCACTCATGGCGGGGGCGGGGTCAGGGCACCGCGGCCGGATGTTGCTGCGGGGGCTGGCGGGGGCGCGCCGGGGGGTGAGCGGGGACAGGGGGGGACACCGGGGGGACACCGGGGGGACACCGGGGGGACACCGGGGGGAACACGGGGTGCTGGGAATGGGGGACACGGGGGAGGCCTAGAGGTGCTGGGTGTGAGGTGTGAGCGAGGACAGGGGGACAAGGGGGGTGCCAGGGATGGCGGGGGGAAAGGCGGGATGTGGGGGGGGATGAGGGGACAAGGAGGGGACGGGGATGGAGGGGAGCGGGGGAGGACAAGGAATGGGGAGGGGGCAGGAATTGGGGGTGTTGGAAGGGGGATGTGGGGGTACACTGGGAGTTCCTGTGGCCGAGCTGGGGGTGCAGCAGCCCCCCCCCAGACTGGGGGGTCTCTGTTCCCTGCAGCCCCCCCCAGACTGGGGGGGTCTCTGTTCCCTGCAGCCCCCAAACAGCCCCGGAGGGACCCCGCGCCCCCAGCCCACCGTCAGCCGCCGCCCCCGGGAGCGTTCGGACAGCACAGCCAAGGCCAGCGGCACCTCGGACACCCCGGGAAGGGACAGCAGGACGGGCACCCCTCATGGTGACAGGGGGGACCCTCCTGAAGCCCCCCCGATTCCCCCCCCGCCCACCCACTGCTGCGGGACCGGCTGCCCCAACTGTGTCTGGGTGGGCTACGTGGAGGAGCTGCTGGAGCGGCACCGGGACGGCGGAGCCCAGGCCTTGGCGGCCGTGGAGGAGCACGTGGAGGACGAGAACATCAAAATGATCCTCAGGATGGAGATCAGGCTGCGTGCCAGGAAGGACTGAGCCTCCCCCAGGCCCCCCACAACGGTGGGGGACAGCCCTGGGGTGGCAGGATCCGGACTTGGGTTATTTATGGTTTATTGTGTGCTGAGCACGGGATCCCAGGGGTGTCACACGAGGTTGGGTCACCTCCTGTCCCGGGTGGAGCTGCCCTTGGGGACAGGCAGTGGCTCAGGCTTGTCCTGAGCCCCGGATTTCCCAGGAGCTGGACGCCGTGCCCTCCCCAGCATGGCAAATCCCTGCCAAGGGCAGCCTGGGCCGGCCCCCCAGCCCTCCTCCTGTGCTCCTAGTTGGAATTTAAGCACCTTTGGGGGGATTTTCAGCACCTTGGCCATGCCCTGGCGATGGGGAGGGCTCGGGGGGCAGCGTGTGGCACGGAGCACGTGGGAAGCAGCAGCCTCCTGTCAAGGACACTGTCCCTGTCCCTGGTGTCTCACCCTGCCACGCTGCTCTCCAAGGTGTTTTCTCATTCTCGATTTCATCTTAATTCCCCATAAACTTGTCCCAAACCCCTCCCCTCCATCCTGGGGGACTTAAAGCCATTGAGACCCCCCCCCACAACATCACAGGACAAAGTCCTCAGGAAGCCACCCAAGCCCTCGAGTGTCACTCACTAATGAACCCCAATTAACAGCCAGGCTCTGCTCTCTGCCAGGGAAGTAGGTGGTTCTCCGTGGAAAACACTCCTGGATCCCTTTAATCCTATTTGTAGGAGCCCAACTAATTGCAATTAGTGGCAGGGGCTGAAGTTCAATTAAAGTGTGCCGAGATTATTCAGTTTTTAATTGCTTTAGTGCTGGATTAGGGAAGCTTTGGAGTGACACCAGCCGTGGGCAGGGGGTGCCAGACCCTCTCTGGCCAGGACCAGGACCCCCAGGAGACTGGAATGGGGGTCCCAGCGCTTCCTGTGGGATCAGGGGACACTGGGGGAAGCTCTTTGGGATGGGAATCGCCCAGGAGGGGAGGCAGGATTCCCCCCACGTGGGATCCACTGCACACCCAGCACGGGCAGGGCTAATCCTGCCCCCCCCCTCCCCAGCAGCACAGGGGAAGGACACTGGATTACCCTGGGGAAAGAAGGGAGGTCAGTAATCCTATTACCCCCGGGCAGGATAAATCTCCCTCACCAAAAGCCCCCCCAGAGCATCTCTGGGCTGCGGGACAGCGGGAACAGGGCAGCTCTGGAATCAGGGATCGCAGGACTCTGTGAGTCAGGGGTGTCTGGGCTGGGGGCAGGGGGATATGGGGCTGTTTTGCTGCTCTTCCTGCATCCAGGAACATCCAGGAGCAGCTCCCTGGGTTGGATCCTTGTTCCCAGGGCTGTGTCCAGCTCTGCAGCAGGGCCAAGTCCCACGATCCTGGGATCTTCCTGATCACAGAGCCAGGCTGGTGCTGCCAAATTCCCACTCCTGGTGCCACAGGCTATCCTCTGCTCCCCCTTCCCACAGCTGCTGACCCTGGCACAGGCCTGGGGCAAGCCCTGGGAGGGTCCTGAGGGATCCCCAGCTGTCACATCCACTCTGGGGTGGGGGGTAAGGGAGGAAGGATCAGCAGCAGCTCTGGTGCCCCCCGGGATGCCCTTCCCCAGCTGGGCTGGGTCAGCATTGTCAGCAAAGCCCATCAGGGACTGGGTGGGAGGAGAAGCTGGTGCCCCCCATTTCCCTCCAGCAGCCGTGAGGAGCCATCCCGAGCCATCCCCGGAGCCGCAGGGAACGCCGCGAGCCGGGGCTGCCGGCCCCCCACAGCCATGAGCCTGGAGCCCCCCAAGCTGGAGCTCAAATCCGCCACCAGGGTGACCGGGGGTCCTGCCACCCCCCGCAAGGGACCCCCCAAGTTCAAGCAGAGGCAGACGAGGCAGTTCAAGAGCAAACCCCCCAAAAAGGGGGTGCAGGGGTGAGTGGGGAAGGGCCCTGGGATGGGGGGGACCCAGCCTGGGGTCAGGCCAGACAATCCCTCTTTCCTTGCAGGTTCGGTGATGACATCCCAGGCATGGAGGGGTTGGGAACAGGTAGGGTTTGGCAGTGGGGGAGGGGGGTCAGGGGCTGGGGGGGGTCACACTGCCACAACCTCGGTCCTCTCTCTCCTCAGACATCACTGTCATCTGTCCCTGGGAAGCCTTCAGCCACCTGGAGCTGCACGAGCTGGCTCAGTACGGAATCATTTAGGATTTGGGCAGGCTCACCAGCCCTGTAGCACTGCGGAGGCCGAGGCCTCCCTGCCCACGCTGGGGGGCTCAGCTTGGAAAAAACGCTCATTAAACCCAAAGGAGCACAGGAGTCAGTGTTGTGGGCTGGGGAGGAGGGAAGGCGGCTGCCCACGGCCTGGGCTGGGATGGGCAGGACACAGACGGGTTCAGGATTCTGACAAGGTTTGTTTGGGGCTGGAGCAGCACCTCAGACATCCCCAAATCCCAAACAGCAGCAATATCCTTGCACCCCCTCAGCATCACAGCTCACCCTCAGCTGTGATGGTGGCACAGACAAGACACAGGTAGGGCCAGGATTTTGTCACGAGGTTTATTTGGGACCAAACCAACCTCCTGCACATCCCAATCCCCACGGTGCCCTCACACCCTCACAGCCCTGATATCCCCGAGCACCCTCAATGCCAGGAGCGCTCCCACGGCCTCCACCAGCACCAGGGCGGCGGCACCGGCGGCGATGGCCCCGGCCTGGCCCCGCAGCCACGCGCCCAGCGCGGCCCCGCAGCCCCCCGTGTGCACCACGGCCCCGGCCGCCGCCGCCCCCAGCCCCAGCACCCCAAACCCGCACTGCACGTTGGGCACGGAGCCGCTCTCCAGCGGGTCCTGGCAGCAGGAAGCCGGGACACCGCACGCCTGCGCGCCCGGAGCGCTGCAGTTGAAGTACCTGCGGGATGGACACGGAGATGTGGGGTCAGGCACAATTTGGGGTGTGGGGATGGGGTCTCCTACACCCCCAGCCTCAAAGCTGGACACCAGGCGTGGGTTCCAGCTCATCCCTCTCTTTCCTGGGCCATCCTGGGGCTCCCACCACCCCAAACACCAGTCCCCAGCACAGAGCCCACAAGGAACGGGGAGGTTTTTGACCCTGTGGTGGACATGGGGTCCCACAAAGGAGGTTTCCAGTCCCATGGTGGACATGGGGTCCCACAAAGGAGGTTTCCAGTCCCATGGTGGCCATGGGGTCCCTCACTACACCCCCCGGCCCGCACTCACGGGTTGCTGTCCCAGTCGTGGTAGGACTCGAGGCCGCAGCACTGGAGGCTCCGCTGCACCTCATCCACCAGGAACTGCAGGTCAGGATCCTCCTGGTAGCGCAGGAGGCAGAGGAGCAGCAGGTCCTGCAGCGCGTCCCGCAGCTGCCGCCGTGCCAGCAGCAGCAGGAGCGCCCCCAGCACCTGCAGCCCCCCAAAAGCCAGCACAGCACCCAGGAAGAAGCGCAGCAGGCAGGGGCTGGCTCGGAAGGCGCCCAGGCAGCCAGCCAAGGACACGGCGCTGGCCCCCAGCCCTGCCAGCACGAACAGCAGCATGGGGTCCGAGCCCAGGGGCACCCCACGCTCCCCCCCGGACAGGGAGCTCTTGGCCAGCAGCCCCCAGACCCCCACAGCGAGGGTCAGCAGCCCCAGCAGGAGGAAGAGGAGGTTCCAGAGGAAGGCCAGGTAGCGCACGCAGCGGCTGAAGGGGCTCAGTTTTGGGGGGTCGGGGGTCCACACCCCAGGGTTCTGCTCAGCCGTGTCACCATCATCATCATCAGAGGAGGAGGAGTAGGGCAGCTCCACCAGCCTGGATGCCTGCAAGGACAGAGGAGCCACTCACAGCTCCCCAGAAATGTTCCTCCAGCCCGTGTAGCTCACCCCACAGCTGGACACTGTCCTGGAGCCTCGCTTAGCCCCCAACCCACCGCTGCTCATCACAGGGGTCTGCAGGGGAGCACCCCAAAGACTCTGACCCTAAGGGAGCCCCAGGGATGCAGTGCACAGGCAGCACGCTGCTTGCTACCCGGGGGTGGGGGGACATGGGGTGCACGGGTAAGGGGTCCCGAGGGAGAGGACTGGGGGTCCCAGGATTACCTGGGGCAGCAGCCGGGTGCGCTCCCCGTGGGGCTGGAACAGGCGGACTCTGCTCAGCGCCATCGCCGTTACCTCGTGCCCGGACCCGTCACACTCCCATCATGTGAGGGGCTGCAGGCGGGCCTAAATGGGGCTGTGTGTGCCGCCCCACAGCTGGGCACCATCCCGCTACCCACCCACCGCCACAGCTGGCCCCGACCGCCCCCAGCTCCACAGCTGGCCCCGATCCCTCTCCCCAGCACCGCGGGCCCCCTCCCAGGGCACCGGGGGGGCCTGGTTGCGTGCGGAACTAAAGAGCGAGCGCGGCGGCGGGAGGGGACACTTGTATCCGTAGCACCGAGGCAGCACGGGGGACCATTATGGCGGTCGCACCGAGGCAGCGTGGGGGGACGGCTGGCGGTGACGCCGGGGTAGGAACCTTGGTGCGCCGGAACGCGGGCGCGGGGCGCGGGGCCGGGGGGGGCGGGCGCGAGGGCGGGCCGGTCCCGGGAGGCGGCGGGCCGGGCCGGGAGGAGCCGGGAAGGGCCGGGCAGGGCCGGGAAGGGCCGGGAGAAGCGGAGCGGGACGGGCCGCACCGGGCCGTGTCTGTGCGGCGCGGCGAGCCCCGGGCCCGCGGGCAGCGCCATGGCCGAGACGATTGTGAGTGCGGCCGGGGGAGGGGCGATGAGGCAGCAGATTCCTGTGGGGCCGGGACGGGGCACCGGGACGGGGGGGGCCGGGGCCGGGGCCGGCGGTGTCCGGGCCGGGCAGTCCCCGGAGCGGCGCCGCGGGCGGCTCCCACGTGGTTTTCCCCGCGGGGGTCGGGGCCGGGACCCCGCGGTGCCGCTCAGCCGCGGGCGGGGGGCTCGGGCCGGGAGGAGAAGGGGCTGCTCGCTCCGGTGAACGGCTCCCGGCCCCGGCCCGGCTGGCTTGTGCCCGGCAGGGAAGCTGGGAGAGCGGAAAGGGGCTCTCCGTGTCCCCGTGTCACACAGCAGCGGTTGAGCGTCCCCTTTAGAACAGCTCCGGTGCCCCTCAGCGCTCCGGGACACCGCTATTTACATTCGCCCCTTCCCGGAGGATTCTCCGTGCCCGGTCCCCGCAGCTGTTGCCGTCCAGGAGCTCAGGTTTCCCGGGAGCAGCTGCAGCCCCGTGTCGCTCCCCACTCCCGCATTCCCGGGGCTCGGACACGAGCTGTGCGGTGCCCGGTAACACCGGTTGGGCCGGTGCCTGTGTGAATAACTCCCCTCGGAAGGTCTGCTCCATCCTCCTGAAGGTCTGATTCCACCTCCGAGGTCACAGCTTTGGCCAAAGGTGTTTTCCTTGGAGTCAACTCGTGCCAAGAGCCCGGAGCGTTGGAATGATTTCCCCCATGCTCACAGACATCACCCAGAGCTGCTCTCCTGGGTGTTCCCAGGCCCTTTGGAGGATGGAAACAGGAGGGAGGAGTGGGGCCCATCAGCCTGGGGGCTCAGCGTGGGCTCTGTCCCCCCTCCCTGACTTGGTGTTCCCTCATTCCCAGATCATCCGTGTGCAGTCGCCAGATGGAGTGAAAAGAATCACGGCTACAAAGAGAGAAACGGTGGCAACGTTCCTCAAAAAGGTACCCCAGGATCCACAGCGCCTTCCCATGGGATGGGGCAGGGCTCCCGTGGCTCTGTCCCGTGGGAGATACATGTTTAACTCCCCTGGCAGCAGCGAGGGACAGCATTTCATGTGGAAAAACACACTTTGATTGGTGTAGCTTGTGTTGTTCCAGAGGGAAAATAACAAATATAAAGAAAGAACTCTCTCAGCTTCTCTGTTGGGCCTTCCTGGAGTGGAAACTTCCCTGGGAAGGACTTTTTGGGGCTCTCCCAAGGAAGTGGCAGCTGGGAAACAGAAGGGGAGCTGTGGGATGGTCAAACCTGCTGCTCCAGGTGGGTTCCAGGCTGGCTCAGCTGCTGGATTTGGGTTTGGAATGTCATTTGGATGTGCTGTGTGTACTCCTGGATTTCCAGTATGGATTTGGAGAGAGCAAGGGAGGGATGGAGTGAGATCTCAGGAGCCCCTGGGCTCTCCTGGGGAGGGAAACACGCCAGGCTGGGGCTGGCTCTGCTGTGATGCAGCTGCTCTGTGTTCTTCAGGAGTGAGCAGTTCTCCCTTTGCTTCCCCCCTGGAATTCCTCTGGAACCCTCAGACTGGGGGTTCTTTGCTCCATGACTTGTATTCCTGAAGGGAATGGGAGCAGGTGGAAACCTTCCCTTTGTGAGTCACAGCTTTGTCTGGAGCTGCAGCCCAGACAGGACACCATTCCCTGACAGCATTCCCTGACACCATTCCCTGACACCATTCCCTGACAGCATTCCCACCTGGCCAGGGAAAATGCTGCTGTTTTTCAGGGCTGGCTCAGGGACACTCCCTGCAGCCTCTGAGCAGCCTCAGCCAAGGCAAGAGGAGCTTCCAGGATCTCTGGAGCCTGTGCAGAACGAGCTGCTCAGGTTACCCGAGGGAACAATCGGGCTGGAAAACACTTCCTGCCAGGACAAAAGCACCTGGAATTGCCTGTTGATCTGGGGAAGGCTCTGTCCTCTGGCTGAGCTGGAGCAGAGACGTGTTTGGGTTTATTTCCTGCTGCAGGGTTTGCTTGGAAGAGGAAAGTGGCAAATTTCCCACCCGAGGTCTGTGTTTTATCTAAATCCAGGTCTCTCCTGCCTGTGCTGTGGATTTTAACGCTGGAATGTTCACCCAGGGGCTGGGTTTGGTGTTTAGGGGGACAGCTGTAATTGGAGAGGTATCAGATTGCTGCTTCCATACCAGGAATTAACCTGGATCTGCTCCAGAAGTGCTCAAGGAATAAAGCGCTGGAGAATCTTCCCCAATCTCCTGTGGCAAATCCTGGGCAAAAGCACCAGAAAAACTCACTGTGGGTGTGCTCAGGACTGGGAATTAACTCCAACCTGCTGTTAATGTGTTGTGGGATTTGTTTGTCCCCAAAAGTGGAATTCTGTGGCCTGAGGAGCAGGAGCTGATCCCTGTGAAAGGGTCCCATTCAAAGGGATCGCTCAGTGCTGCAAATCACAGCCGAGCTGACAGGAAAAAAAACTGCTTTTCATGGCTGTGCTCATGTGACAGCTCTTTGTGGCTCATCAGATTTGTC